CTATTGAGAGGATGAAGTGCATGATTATTCTGTGAAGTATGCAGTTCTCCAAAAATGCGAGAGGTTATTGCTGTAAACCTCTTTGCTGTTCTTTCCCTTGCATCCCCATCATTGAGATCAGTAGGTAATGGGTTGCCTATTCTGAGGCACGAAGGGAGGCATGTCTGGGTTGTTAATTAAATATTGTTGGCCGGTAAACATGATCCTGGGTAAGCCACTTACCCTGTAAGGGTGTCCAGTTCACTGGAGAACCTGCCATGAGCCCTCATGTTTCACAATCTATCTTTTGAAAATCATTGTAAACTGTATTTATTTATTTATTATTATTATTATTTCGAGATGGAGTCTCTCTCTGTCGCCCAGGCTGGAGTGCAGTGGTGTGATCTCGGCTCACTGCAAGCTCCACCTCCCGGGGTTCACACCATTCACTTGCCTCAGCCTCCCAAGTAGCTGGGGCCATAGGCACCCGCCACCACATCTGGCTAAATTTTTGTATTTTTAGTAGAGACGGAGTTTCACTGTGTGAACCAGGATGGTCTCACTCTCCTGACCTCGTGATCTGCCCGCCTCGGCCTCCCAAAGTGCTGGGATTACAGGCATGAGCCACTGTGTCTGGCCTGTAAAGTGTGTTTAATGTGTCCGGTATGGTAAGGGGAATGGGAAGATGGTTAGGATTCAGCAGGCTTGGAGAGACCCCCATTGTGAACCAGGTGGATGGCATCCTCCCCATACTCCATCCCCTAAGCTGTACTCTGTTGTGATTGAGTACAGGAGAGTCCAGGAAGACTCTGGGCCCCACATATTCATTAGAGTGAATTTCAGTTACTGTTTTCCTCCCCCAGAGAGCTGGTGCTTCGGCCTCACCTCTGACTAAGGAGTGAAAGGCTGTGTGTGTTAAGGGATTTTGCAACCTCTTAGAGTCTCTGTGGCAGTGAGGGAGTTGTGGCCTCTAAAGTCACACCTGGCAGCCTGCCTGGCTCCTGCAAGAGGTCAGGAGGGAAGGAATGGGCTGTGGAGCTTCTGGGGCCTTAGGGACTAGGTAGAGAGAGATCTGCTAGGGCCCTTAGGGCTGGCTGAGGCTGTGTGGCCAGGTTGGGCTGGGGGCTGGGGCTCCTGTTTTGAGCCAGAAGCTCTCACACCCCGGACCCTGCTCTTTTAGGGGAGGTCCTCAATTTTATTTTCCAGCCCTTCAATAGGATTTGTCATTTTTACTACCACATGTTTAATTTCCCGGGGCTGTTTGCTGTTTGTTTTTTCAAATGGATGAGTTCTGTGAAGTGGCTTTATTTTTCTACTTTTACAGATATCTCTTAATCTTAGCTTTTAAAATGTTGTTCTGTTTTTATTTTACAGGGTAATGGCTTTTCTGCTTTTCTTAGCTATCTTGAGATCAATCTTTTTTTTTTTTTCCTCTTTTTTTTTTTTTTGTTTGTTTTTTGAGACAGAGCCTTGCTTAGTCACTCCATCTGGAGTGCAGTGGCATGAGCATGGCTCACTGTAGCCTCTATCTCCTGAACTCAAGCGATCCTTCCACCTTAGCCTTCTCTGTAGCTGGAACCAACAGGTGCATGCCACCACACTCAGCTAATTTAAATTTTTTATTTTAAAGATGGAGTCTCACTTTGTTGTCCAGGCTGGTCTTGAACTCCGGGGCTCAAGTGATTGTCTTGCCTTAGCCTCCCAAAGTGCTGGATAGTTTTTTTGTGGGGGTGGGGATGTTTTCTTGTTTCAGAGTTTCCTTTTTCTTTTAGGGTGTGTGTTTTTTTTGAGGCGGAGTCTCGCTCTGTCGGCCAGGGTGGAGTGCAGTGGCATGATCTCGGCTCACTGCAAGCTCCGCCTCCCGGGTTCATGCCATTCTCCTGCCTCAGCCTCCTGAGTAGCTGGGACTATAGGCGCCCGCCACCTTGCCCGGCTAATTTCTTGTATTTTTAGTAGAGATGGGATTTCGCCGTGTTAGCCAGGATGGTCTCGATCTCCTGACCTCGTGATCCGCCCACCTCAGCCTCCCAAAGTGCTGGGATTACAAGCCTGAGCCACCGCGCCCGGCCAGGGTGTGTGTCTTTATCTTGCATGTTGGGACTTTTCTTGGAGGTCTGGAGACACTGGGTTGTCCAGAGCACTAACAAGCTGACCAGAAACTCTGAGTGTGTGTCGGGCACACTTCGCTTTTGAAGATGTTGCTGTAAAGTCCCCATCTCACTGGTGCCTCCCCTCTCCTATTCATGATTATTCATGAATGTTCATGAATGCACATTTGTGATTTGTCTGGAGCTATGAGAGTACACAGAGAAGGATCTTGTCAGTTCCTGGGACAGATAGAATCTCAGCATTTGTCACTCATCATCTGATTGCCACCTCCCCTGCCTCAGCTGTGCCTGAGGTACCCCAGTTCAGGGACTTTGTTGAACCTCCTCCAGTGAATAAGCCTCACTGTAATTGCCAGGTGGCATGGATGGGGGTCAAGGCTCTGGTCCTCAGACTTTGAACCTGATCTCTTTCTTTGGGCCCTGCCTTCAGCTCTCACTTCCAGGGATACCAGGCTCTTCTACTATCAAGTCTCTGGTGGCTTCTGGTGAGAAGCCCCGGTTGTATCTCAGTTGTTTCTGCTGCTGGTCTAAGATTGAGCAGCTCTGGGAAGCCAGGTTACCATCTTCTAGCTGTCTGGTTATCCACATTTCACAGCTGATGTCTCCTTTCCTTTTCTCTTTGCCCTTCTACAAGGTTTATGGCACCTAAAAAGTTCCTGTACTGTTGTCTTTAATGGAATTTTGGAGGAGAGCAAAAGTATATGCATACATTCAATCTGTCATTTTTACTAGATTCTTTTCATTTCTATTTAACATGATATCTTAATATGCTTCTTTCTTTCTTTCTTTTCTTTTTCGTTTGAGATGGAGTCTCGTTCTGTCGCCCAGGCTGGAGTGCAGCGGCGTCTTCTCGGCTCACTTCAAGCTCCACGTCCCGGGTTCATGCCATTCTCCTGCCTCAGCCTCCCGAGTAGCTGGGACTACAGGCGCCCACCACCTTGCCCGGCTAATTTTTTGTATTTTTAGTAGAGATGGGATTTCACCGTGTTAGCCAGGATGGTCTTGATCTCCTGACCTCATGATCCGCCCACCTCAGCCTCCCAAAGTGCTGGGATTACAGCCGTGAGCCACCGTGCCTGGCCTATCTTAATATCTTTCTTGTTAATTTTAGAAATGTAATAATCTTTCATGTGTGCCATAATTGAAAGAGTGGAATGAGATAGGTTATTTATGAGGCAGTCAGCACGTTGAAGTTTCAATGAAGAGATTGTGATTATGAGCCTGTGGTCAGCTCCCTGATGACCCAACTCATTTTGTCTCAGTTCCAGGAGGCAACCCTCTGGCATGGTGTGGGTTCCATTCAGTTCGAGTGGTGTCGGGACAGTTTGCCAGGGCCACGTGAAGGGGGCAGGTGGTACCTAGGTAGTTGGCTGCAGAAGCAGTGGCACAGGGCCCTATGCTTGGTTTAATGCTGTGTGCTCACCATCTTGAACTTCTTAATTTTTAACAAGGTGCCCGCATTTTCATTTTGCACTAGGCTCTGCAAATTCAGTAGGGGATCCTTACTGTAAGTGATTCACTTAAATGTCTTTGGGGTTTCAGCTTTCCTTTTCCAAAGGGGCTCACTTTGCCTATCAATTTTTTTTTTTTGTAAGATGGAGTCTTACTGTGTTGCCCAGGCTGGAGTGCAGTGGTGCTATTTTGGTTTACTGCAACCTTCTCCTCCTGGGTTCAAGTGATTCTTCTGCCTCAGCCTCCCAAGTAGCTGGGATTACAAGTGCACGCCACCACACTCAGCTAATTTTTGTATTTTTAGTAGAGATGGGGTTTCACCATGTTGGCCAGGCTGGTCTCGAACTCTTCACTGCAGGTGATTCACCTACCTCGGCCTCCCAAAGTGCTGGGATTACAGGTGTGAGCCACCATGCCCAGCCCACTTTGCCTATCTTATGGTACTGTTGCATGAGACAGTGCTAGAGTGAAAGCACTTTTGCAAGTTAACAGCTTAACCCACACACAGGATGGCAATGGTTGTAAAGCACATTACAAGTACCAAGTACAAAAAGGAAGGATGGCTATGGACTCCATTACTCCCTCCACCTCCCCTTTAGCTGCCATGGAGTTTTCCACACCTCATCCCACCTTCACCCTGTGCTCCAGCCACTTTGCTGATGGTGCGTTGTGGCCAGCTTCTGAGGTCAGGGGACCTGTGTGTCTCATCTTTGCCCTACCCCTCAGTGCTGAGCACCCCTCGCCTGCAATGAGGGCTCGGTAACTCTCTGTGAATTAGATTTCTTCAGCTGGACAAATAGCCTCCCTAACGTCTTTAAACGCTTCTTGCTTGACACCTTTACAGTTTTATCCCAGAACACTTGAGCTAGGGGAGGCCTTGGACACTGAGTTCATCAATGTCATTTCAGCAGTGGAGACCCAGGGAGGTGGCACGACTGGAAAATGGCGGGGCCTCGGCCGGAACTCAGGTGTCCCAGCTGACTGTTTCTCATGCTCTTTCCCTTTCATAGACTCTTAAGAATATTTGGAAATGTGGTGCAGCAAATATTAGAGGTTTATCAAGTATTTCTAAAAGCCACTACAGAGAAAGGGAAACGAAGCACAAATTTTGAAATCGAATGTATAGACAGAACTTAGGGGATGTTAAATTGGTATGTTGCAAATAAGTAATACATATTGTGGCTCCAAGTGTGAGTCTGGTTGGTTGTGTTCACTAGGATTTAATTTTAATAACATCATGAATTCACGGCAGTTTTGAAATGGGGCTAATACACGGTTGTGAAGTTGACGGCAACTGCGGTATCTTTGGTTTCTTTTTGAAATGACCGGAGTGCTGGTGGTTACGCTTCATGCTCTCATGTCTGCTTTCTCTTTCCCTGTTTTAAAATAAATGCTTGGTTTTACACGGCTTTGTGCACATGGAGGAGCTAGTTCTGATTGATGTTATTCTTTCTGTTTTAGGAGCTCCCAGATTCATTGAAGGAGCAGACACACCTGAAAGAATGGCACATAAGCAATACCCTGATTCAAATCATTCCTACATATATTGAGTTATTTCAAGCGATGAGAATTCTGGATCTGCCGAAAAACCAAATCTCACATCTTCCAGCAGAAATCGGTATGTCAACTTAGCGGGGGTCTTCCGGCCTCTGGTGTGTTAAGTAGGCAGCTGTCAGGCAGGTAACAGACACTGTGCAGACACCGTTTTTCCTCTCCAGCTGCCCCAGGAAGTGGCTGGGCAGGGCTGTTTCGAGGCTCCCCAGGGCTGCTTGTTCGCAGCATCCCTTTGGGCGGTGAGGTCGGCATCTCGCCTGTATAATTCAGCACATAGGACACTTGCCAATTGCTCAGAAACCAGAAGTTTCATGAGTGAGCAATACTTTGTTTAGGAGCTCTGTGTTTATTTTCTTTTAGTTTTAAACCTATAAACATGCAATATGCTTATTATAAATGTATTATTCCTATATATTACTCCATTGATAAATCTAGTTTAGCTTATGATGTGTCTTTTTTTTTTTTTTCTTGAGACAGAGTTTTGCTCTTGTTGCCCAGGCTGGAGTGCAATGGCACAATCTTGGCTCACTGCAACCTCTGCCTCCCTGGTTCAAGTGATTCTTCTGCCTCAGCCTCCCAAGCAGCTGGGATTAGAGTCATGTGCCACCATGCCCAGCTGATTTTGTATTTTTTTTAGTAGAGAAGGGCTTTCACCATGTTAGCCAGGCTGGTCTCAAACTCCTGACCTCAGGTGATCTGCCTGCCTCGGCCTCCTAAAGTGTTGGGATTACAGGTGTGAGCCACCGTAACCAGCCTGATGTCTTTTTGATGGATCAAAATTTTACAATTCTGTCATTATTCAGTTGTGTTATCTTAAAATGAAAATGACAGTGATCATTATTGCTTCTCTTTCTCCTGGGGTGGAAGGAGTGAAGGTCTGGGGCTGCACAGAGCTCCATTCTTACACATGTGCCCTGGGACCAGTGGGTTAATCATAGTTATGTGAAAATTTACCAAAAGCCAAGACCCTGTGGGACAGGTGGCTTGTGGGGTCTCTGGTGGTCGTACACATCTTGCTGGCTGTGTCAAGACTACAAGGCTCTGATCACCCTCTTACCCAGGCCAATCTTGGGGATATTTATGCACATAATAACCTTGAGGGATGAGGTGACACCTGCTCCCAGGCAAAGAGCAGCCTTGCTAACCACTTGCTGTAAAAGCAGTGGGTTCCCCAAGCTTGGGGTTTTCAGCCGTGATGCATCTAACTGGGCCATCTGCATCACACTTGGTAGACTTAGCTGTAAGGGCAACTGACATCAGTATGCTGTCTTGGAACAGGAGCCTGGTGTCTTCTGCCGGTATCCATGAAGCAGGAATAGGCAAAACTTATTAGCGTCTAAGCAGGGTAAAATCAAGTTCTAGACCCAACAAGGACAAGTACTTCTGTTTCCTTGCCTAGTTTCTGGAAAGGTAGAAAGGACCTTAGAATTTTTATGAATGAAAAGTACCATTTTTGACATGTAAGGGGTCATTTACCTCCTGCCCCTTTATTTTGCAAATTGGAGAGACCCTCTGATGTTAGCTGACTGAATCATTATCATTTACATATTACACTACGGAACTTCTTCAGAGCCTGGGCTAGAAGCCAGATTTCACTATTTGCAGGTCATTTTTGGGCAAGCTCATAGTATATTTAAATAACTGGATAGAGTTTCTGAGGACTGAGTTACTTTTAAAAACTCTTTTTAGGCTGGAGGCATTGGCTCATGCCTGGAATCCCAGCACTTTGGGAGGCAAAGGCGGGCAGATCACTTGAGTCTAGGAGTTTGAGACCAGCCCGGGCAACATGGCGAAATCCCATCTCTACAAAAAGTAAAAAATTAGCCAGGCATGATGGCACGTGCCTGTAGGAGGATCGCTTGAGCCCAGGAGGTTCAGGCTTCAGTGACTGGTGATGGCACTGCTGCACTCCAGCCTGGGTGACAGGGTGAGACCCTGTCTCAAAACAAACAAACAACCAACCAACCAAACAAACAAAAAAAAACTCCACCCTTTTCAAGTAGAAAGATTCTGTCCTTATACATTTGAGAAGCCACAGTGGTTGACCTAGACTCAAGGATCCTTGTTATCCTGCCAGCTGGGCTTGGGAATCCAGTGGTTGGCAGCAAGATAGATGGGGTACTAAGCATGGAGCCGTCAAAAGAGGGGGGACGTCAGATTATCACCATGGGATGAGTCATGCTTACAGTTGTCTGAAATGTCATCAGAGGTCCTCCACTTAATATGTATCTTTGTTCATCTCTTGAAATGTCTTCTTTGAAATTATTGCCAGCCAGATTAATACCTGTTCTTTTTTAACTTCCCACACTACACCAATGTAATATTCATTCTTTCCTTGTGAGCCAGTTTGATTTGAGCAGTGGTTTTCACCTTGGCTACACTTTAGAATCCCCCAAAGAGCCTTAAAAATCTAAATGCCCAAGACCCACTGCAGAACAATTCCATAGGAATCTCTAGGTACAGGGCCAGGAATCAGCATTTAACAAACTCCCTACATGATTCCCATGTGCAGCCATGGTTGAGACCACTGGTGAGGGAGTGAGGATGTGATCCTTGCAAACTCGGGGGAGGAGAAGAGATTGGTGGGTGAGGGGTATCCGTGGGAGACCAATGTGGGATTGGGGCACTATACTTAATCTCTTTGCTTTTCAGTTTCTTCATCTATGAAGTGGGGATAATAGTTGTTGCTGTCATTTAGTTGTTGTGAGGATTAGATAAGGCAATAAACACCAACATATTGGGTACATACTTGTTATTCCAAGTGATTATTCAAGTGATTATTCCAAACACTCAAGTCCTGTTGGAGACATGATGGCATCCCCATAGACCTCATTCATGTGCAGGGAAAACTATTCAAACATTTTAGAAATGTGTAAAATGTAAAATCAAGCCTCTCAGTAAGCACTAAGTTTCCTGGGTATTCACATTGTACATGCACTCATGCCGTTCTACAGACCTACGTTGTAGCTGTCTATTTATAAACAGACATGTAACCATGCATGTTACATATACTTACACACATGGGCTTACACTGTGTTCTTCAGTCTGTGCCTCACATGTTTCCCCCAACCAGACCATGAAGGCGGAGGTGGACTCCAGGATCAGGCTGCCTGGGTCTTCGACTTACTGGAAGGTCACCCTGAGCAAGTCATTTACTGCTTTTCAGTTTCCTCATCTGTAAAATGGGGATAACAATAGTACCTACTTCACAGGCTTGTTGTGAGGACTAAATAGATAATACATAAAAAGCATTTAGAGTAGGTGAATCCCTGGCATTCACTAGTCATTATTATTATTATTACTATTATTAGCATCATCTTTATGTTAATGTTATCTTTCAGTATCAGAACATCTAAACCTTCCTCATTCTCCCCGGTAGCTGAGTGATGATTATGACATGATTTATTTCACTTGTTCCCAAAATATTTTAAAATGAAACTTAGTGAATTGAAGACTGACCTAAGATTTTGAAGACACAGATGTTATCTAACTTTGAGTAACTTGAGCACATATTTTGATTTTTTAAATCTTAATTATCCTCATTTGTAGGATAAGGGTCAGAATGATCTTTAAAACATCTGCCACCTCTAAAATTCTCTAGTTGAATTTTTTTGTGAGTTAACCTATGGGAGAGAGGGGGACAATAAATCTCAGAGGCTTTAACACTCTATACCAGATTTAAGTCATATATGTATTTTATCCAACTTATAATTTTCAGTCTATTTCAAGTCGATGGAATATAATTTATCTAAATACATCCATAGCTTAGGCAAAAACAGACCACTCCCTTCTCACATGACTGAGACATATATCATATCTCCAGTTTGGAAATTCTTATGACATGTGAGTATCACAATTTTTCATCATTATAGAGGAAATTCTTAAGAAAAGAACACAATAATAAAGAGGAAAGTGTTCTTAGAATGATTTAGGTAAGGTTGTCACCCTAATTTTCTTCTAGTACTTGCTTCTTTATACTCTTTGTGTCATTAACATGGAGTATTTTGAGAAAATCCATTTTTTACCAAAGGTAAGTATTGAGGGCATCTAGAATAAATCAGTTTTCACATGTGGGGCAAAATGAAAAGAAATGAAAATGCATTAATTCAGGGCATGTTTCTCTCCTAGAGGAGCAGATATAGCTCCTAACAAACTAGGGATAAATGAAGAAACACTCAGCTGCAGGATCTGATGCTCAAGCATAGTGAGGAACTTGGGAATGAACAAAGGATTTTTAGCTCTTTTATGTTGAGCAGCTGAATTTTGTAAAGGAGGTGGGGTTTGATCTCTTATCATGTTGTCTTATAGATCTATTGAGGGCTGATGGAGGGGAGGAGTTAGGGAGGTGTGATTACTAGACAGGGTATTCTTTTTCTCATTATTAGAGCAATTATTTTTGACATTTGACATCAAGGAATTAAGAATGACGATGAGTGGTGCTCTTAACTTCCTTGTGAAACTCCCAAGAAATTATCATTATATGGATTTAAAATAACTAATTATTGGAATTACAGATGATCCGCAATTTACAATGGTTAGATGTAAGGTTTTTCAGCTATTTGATGGTGTGAAAGCAATGTGCATTCGGTAGAAACTGCACTTTGTTCCTCGAAGGGTGCGGCTGCTAGAAAGAAAGAAAGGAAGAAAGAAAGAGAAAAGAAAAGAAAAGAAAAGAAAAGAAAGAAAACAACAAAAAAAAGAGCAGCACTATTTACAATAGTAAAGACTTGGAACCAAACCAAATGCCCATCAATGACAGACTGCATAAAGCAAATGTGGCACACATACACCATGGAATACTCTGCAGCCACAAAAAAGGAGTTTGTGTCCTTTGCAGGGACATGGATGAAGCTGGAAGCCATCATTCTCAGCAAACTGACACCGGAACAGAAAACCAAACACTGCATATTCTCACTCATAGTGGGAGTTGAACAATGACAACACATGGACACAGGGAGGGAACGTCACACACCAGGCCTGTTGGGGGCTGGGGGGGAAAGGGGAGGGAGAACATTAGAACAAATACCTAATGCATGTGGGGCTTAAAACCTAGATGATGGGTTGATAGGTGCAGCCAACCACCACGGCACATGTATACTTATGTAAGAAACCTGAACATTCTGCACATGTATCCCAGAACTTAAAGTAAAACAAAGAAAAAAAATTAAAAAAAAAGAAAAGAAGGAAGGAAGAAAGGAAGGGCAAGAAAGAGAAAAAAAGAAGGAAGGAAAGAAAGAAAGAAAAAAGAAAAGAAAGAAAAAGAAAGAAAGAAAGAAAGAGAAAAGAAAGAAAAGAGAGAGGGAGGGAGGGAGGGAAGCAGGAAGGAAGGAAGGAAGGAAGGAAGGGAGGAAGGAAGGAACTGTGAGTACCCATACAAACATTCTGCTTTTCATTTTCAGTGCAGCATTCAATTTATTACAGGAGATATTCAACACTTTATTATAAAACAGGCTTTATGTTGGATGATTTTGCCCAACTATAGGCTAATGTAAGTGTTCTGAGCACATTTAAGGTAGTCTAGGTGAAGCTACAATGTTTGATAGGTTAGGTGTATTAAATGCATTTTTGACTTATGATATTTTCAACGTATGATGGGCTTATTGAGGTGTAACTCCATCATAAGTTAGGGAGCATCTGTATTTAAACATTTTTACTCAAATATTGTAGGATATGGTAATTCCTTAAGCTGCTCCTTGGGCTCTAGAAACAAGGAGCCTCTATACAATTCACTGTGCTCCAGTTGCAATATCTTCCCCTTACTGGAAATTAGGTCTGAGAGCTTGGGAGAGCAGAGAGTAGGTAGGCAGCTTTCATTTCAGTTGGAAAGATCCCTGGGCATTTCAAGAAAGAATAGACAAATCAGTTATTTAAAAATATGACACACTGAAGGCATGAGCCTTGAAAGTTTTGTTTTAGATTCTGTAATATTGGACCCTTATCACACTGAAAAACTGTGATTTCAGAACCTCGGGTTCATGATGCTACAAGATAATGTTCATCAGATACACTCCCCCAAACCCAAATGCTAAATTATGTTTAGTTCCTTCCCCATCATTATTTACAGAGCTGTTTACTTCTTAGTTTTGTTTTTTGTTCTTAAAAGACCTTAAACGACCTATTCAATGGATGTTAACTTTTTCTGATGACAGGTTGTTTAAAGAACCTGAAAGAACTCAATGTGAGTTTCAACCATCTGAAGAGCATTCCTCCAGAATTGGGAGATTGTGAAAATCTAGACAGATTGGATTGTTCTGGAAATCTAGAATTAATGGAGCTGCCCTTTGAAGTAAGAGATAAACATTTCTGCACTACAATTTACTTTTATTTGGTTTATGACATAGAATGGTCTATAATATGGCAAGAAGTTTTAACTTATGAAATCTATCTTTATTATATCACCTTTTCCTGACATTTCAATCACCATATACTGGTCTTTAAAAACTTTTTTTTTTTTTTGAGATGGTGTCTTGCTCTGTCACCCAGGCTGGAGTGCTGTGGTGCGATCTCGGCTCACTGCAGGTTTCGCCTCCTGGGTTCAAGCAATTCTTCTGCCTCAGCCTCCTGAGTAGCTGGGACTATAGGTGCACACCACCACATCTGGCTAATTTTTGTATTTTTAGTAGAGATGGGGTTTTGCTATGTTGGCCAGGCTGGTCTCTAACTCCTGACCTCAAGTGATCCACCTGCCTCGGCCTCCCAGAGTGCTGGAATTATAGGCGTGGGCCACTGCACCTGTCCTTTAAAAACATTTTATACTAGGTCAGAACCTGAATTTAAGTTCAGAAATGCTATCAAAGGAAAACCAGGCAAAATTTCACACAATAAATTTTTATTTAATGCTTGTTGATGCTTGTAATATATGATGCCTGTTGTCTCTAATGCAGATCCTAATTTATTTATCCAAAATGGTAAAATTGAAAATAAAAGGGGTAAATTTTTTTTATATACTCATAGCAAAACTTGTAGATGACTGAAGTAGTCCTACAGATAGGATTTAAGAAATCCACTAATTTAAAAATATTAATTAGTTTCTTTTGGTCTGTATTCATGGAAAAATGATTTTAAATCATTTCTGATAAAGTGGAGCACATAAAAGTGAACAATTTTTAATGCCAAATTAAACTCAATAAGCATCTCATGCTGGAGTGAGAGAAGGATCTCGCAATGCTACTGGTAATGAATGGGCTATAAATGGTGATTGCTGGTGACAAGGCACTGGACACCGATTGCCATCCTAGAAGGGGCATTATTTGCCTTTCCTGAATGCTTCAGGGTATAGGAGGAAGTGGCTGCTTCTAAGCTGTTAGCACCCATTCTACCCTAGGAGATACCCAGCAGGTGTCCTGGTGAGGGTGCACAGCCAGGGGTCATGGCTCCCTGCACAGATCCACTCATACCCCAGTCTTTTCCAGTTCAGGCAATGGCTCAATCTCCACACAGATGTTAAGGCTGGAAGTAAATTAAGTCATCCTTAACCTCTCTTCTCCCATGTACCCTATCCAATCCATAAATAAATCCTGTTGAGCATGCCCTCCAGAATATATTCTGTGTAACCATTTTCATCACCTTCCCACTGCCACCCTGGTCAAGACAGTGTTGTCTGTCATCTGGACTGGGGCAACAGCCTCCCTGTTTGCTTCTCTGTCCCTTCTTCTACCTTTTCCTCCTTCATTGAAGTGTAATCTAAATACCATACAACTCACTCATTACAAGTGTACAGATTCAAATTTAGGCCATTTCCATCACTCCTCCCCACTACCCCCAATTATCTCTTGCACCTTTGATATGAATCCCCATTCCCATTCCCAGGACTAGGCAACATGGGAGGTAGAGGCTGCAGTGAGCTGAGATCTCTCCACTGCACTCCAGACTGGACGACAGAGTGAAACTCCGTCTCAAAAAAAAAAAAAAAAAAAAAATCTAACTATAATTGTTGAATTGTCTCTTTGTCCTTTTAATTCCATCAGTTTTTACTTCATATATTTTAAGTTGTTAGTTGCATATACATTTATGATTCTTGCATCTTCCTGACCTATGTCAGGGGAACTCCTGCTATTGACCCTTTTATTATTATGAAATGTCCTTCTTTATTCCTAACAATATTGTTTCTTAAATATAATTTGTCTGATATTAATATAGTCACTCTATCTCTCTTATAGTTATGTTTTACATGATAATATGGTGATATGGTTTGGCTGTGTCCCCACCCAAATCTCATCTTGAATTGCAGCTCCCATAATTCCCACACATCATGGGAAGGACCTGGTGGGAGGTAATTGAATCATGGGAGCAGGTCTTTCTTGTGCTGTTCTCATGAGAATAAGTCTCATGAGATCTGGTGGCTTTATAAATGGGAGTTCCTCTGCATAACCTCTCTTTTTGCCTGCTGCCACGTAAGACGTGCCTTCGCTTCTCCTTTGCCTTCCACCACGATTGTGAGGCCTCCCCAGCCATGTGGAACTATGAATCCATTAAACCTCTTTTCTTTATAAATTACCTGGTATTGTTTATGTCTTTATTAGCAGTGTGAGAATAAACTAATACACATGATATATATATCTCTATTTTCATCTTTTTTACTTTTAACTTATTTGTATCTTTGATTCTAAGTTGTGTTTCCTATAGCCAGCATATAGTTGGATTTTTTGGTAAAACCCGACTAACAATCTGTGTCTTTTGACTCATTAGTATACCATTTTTTTTCTTCTGTTGATTTTTAAAAACTATCTTTTTGTTTTTATTTTTGTGTGAGCTTATTCTAGAGATTACAATATTCTTCTTAATTTAACACAATCTACTTCAGCTTAGTAATAACTTAATTCTGGTAAAATATAAAAACTTTTGCCCCAATATAGCTCCATTACATTCATCCTTTGTATTTTTATTATCACATATTTACATCTATATATCAAAAATAAAAAATACAGTGTTGTAACTATTGCTTAATATTATATATATATATATATATTTTTTTTTTTTTCTTTTCTTTTTCCTTTTTTTGTGTGCAGTGGCATAATCTCAGCTCACTGGAACCTCCACTATCTGGGTTCAAGTGATTCTCCTGACTCAGCCTCCCAAGTAGTTGGGATTACAGGTTGCACCACCACATCTGGCTAATTTTTGTATTTTCAGTGGAGATGGGGTTTTGCCATGGTGTCCAGGCTGGTCTTGAACTTCTGGGCTCAAGCAATCTGTCCACCTCAGCCTCCCAAAGTGCTATAACTACAGGCATGAGCAACCAAGCCCAGCTTGCACCGATAATTTTTAGCAATATAAAATCCTGGAAGGCAGCTGCAGTGTATTATTTATCTTAACTTCCCTACCCATACACAGTGAATGACACATCCGAGGTGCTCCAAAATACATCCTGTGTTGATCTGCTTTGCGTATATTCATAGAAATGCCTTTGGGAAAGAAATATCAATCTTAAAATTATTGGTTGAACTTTATTCCCACTCTTATAAAAGTAATTAGAACATTTTGTTATTCATTTCTAGTTAAGTAATTTGAAGCAAGTTACATTTGTAGATATCTCAGCAAACAAGTTTTCCAGTGTCCCGATCTGTGTCCTGCGGATGTCGAATTTGCAGTGGTTGGATATCAGCAACAATAACCTGATCGACCTGCCTCAAGATATAGACAGGTAGCTACTTGCATTCTAAGGTGAGGTGTATGTATTAGTTACTAACGCTTCAAACACTGTTAACATTTAAAACATGTATAGTACATGAATGTTCTTTGGAATCAACTAATTTTCCAGAGTTTATTGTTTCCAGGAAATCAGTTTCCAAGGAAATTATAGAATCAGACAATTTCCAGTCTGCATCATACATGTATGTGTTTACGTGCATTTGAACACCTCTTCATTGTCTTGATGAACTTTAATTTGCTTTAGTCTTCCATAGAATGGCACCATTAACTTTCCTTCACTCTACAGAAGTGGAGAAGTTAATTTATTAAGTATAGAATGGAAACATATCACTCTATGTTTAGAATATCAATGAGGACAAATTTTATTAGTTTCATTTGTTGATTCATTATACATAAACTTTCAAACAAAATTGATATGCTTAGCCAGGTTTTCAAATTATATTCTTTCAAATTAAAAATATACATATTTTAAAATTTTTATTTTTTGTTGAGACAGGGTCTTGCTTTGTTTCTCAGGCTGGTCTCAAACTTCTGGGTGCAAGCAATCCTTCTGCCTTGGCCTCTCAAAGTTCTGGGATTGCAGGCATGAGCCACCGTGCCTGGCCCAAATTAGATTCTTGCAGCTATTTCATGTTTTTAAAAATAAGAGTTATCATGTAAGATTCAGTCATTCACTTATAATATTATCAGACTCCTGTATGGCAAGCCTAGAGAATGGGATGGGTTTAAAGTGGTAAATGAAACACAATCTCTGGCATCCTGGAATCTACAATTTTTTTTTTGTTTTTTGAGACAGAGTCCTGCTAGTTGCCCAGGCGGGAGTGCAGTCATGGCTCACTGCAGCCTCTACTGCTTGGGCTCATGCAGTTCCCTCACCTCAGCCTCCCAAGTAGCTGGAGCCACAGATGTGTGGCCTGGCTAATTTTTTAAATCACGCCTGGCTAATTTTTTAAAATAATTTTTTGTGGAGACAAGGTCTTGCTATATTACCCAGGCTGGTCTTGAATTCCTGGACTCGAGTGATCCTCCTGCCTCAGCCTCCCAAAGTGCTGGGATTACAGGCATGAGCCACCATGCCTGGCCTACAATCTTTTTTATAAAGAAACACAAGCAAGCTATGGTGACACAGAGGCCAGCAGTGGCTTCGGCCTGAATGCCATCTTGTATGACTTTTCTTTATTCCTGGTACATGTGATATGTATTGATGCTTTCCAGGCTTTTGAGACTAAGAGGGGATCTTTTAGTTTGCAATATGGGAACTTTATGAAATAGCTGTGTGATAAGCCAAAGTTTTGGAAATAAATGAAAGAAAAATTACCGGGGGGAGGACACTGACTTAGAATAAAATATGTTTGAAACATATTTTGCTCATTTACTTTTCACTCTGCAGTTGCCTTCCTGTTTTAAAGTTGGAAAATGTGACGACAGAAGGATAATAACTGGGCTTTAAAGATATACAAGAGGAGGCTGGGCACAGTGGCTCTTGCCTGGAATCCTTGCACTTTGGGAGACCAAGGAAGGAGGATTACTTAAAGCCAGGAGTTCAAGACAAGCCTAGGCAACATAGTGAGACCCTGTCTCTCTCATTAAAAAAAAAAAAAAAAAAAAAGATGTACAAAAGGAAGTACATTGCTAAAATCTGTTTATTCTCATTTTCATTCCAGTATGATTGCCTTCCCATGCCCTGTTAACCCTTGTAAATGCAGTTGACTCTCAGAAGGGACATACAGATATTTGAGGCTCCATCATGGCCTAGTGTGTATTGTGCAGTATGCTTATCCCACTGCTATAGCTGTGTCTTCAACTGGTGATTAAGTCAGTAAAAACTTACAAAAAATCATGTCACCTGGCATGACTTTAGTTATTCAAAACTTAGGCAGTGCATAGTGGCTCATGCCTGTAATCTTAACACTTTGAGAGGCCGAGGCAGGCAGACTGCTTGAGCCCAGGAGTTCAAGACCAGCCTGGGCACTATGGCAAGACCCTCTGTCTCTACAAAAAATATAAAAAATAATTAGCTGGGCATGGTGGCATGTGCTTGTAGTCAGGAGGCTGAGGTGGGAGGATCTTTTGAGCCCAGGAGATTGAGGCTGCAGTGAGCCGAGATTATGCCACTGCACTCCAACCTGGGCAACATAGTAAGCCCCTGTCTCAAACAAACAAACAAACAAACAAAAAAACACAACAAGAACAAAACTTAGAATAAGTTGGTTCTCATAAAAGTCACATGGATAAAATAAAGTAGGGACTTCCTATTAGAATTTATTTGTAATTCACATTTCTTAGCTATGATGCCAAGTTCAGTGTTATGATTGTTTTTACCTCTTCTTAGGCTAGAAGAGCTGCAGAGCTTTCTCTTGTATAAAAACAAGTTGACCTACCTTCCCTACTCCATGCTGAACCTGAAGAAGCTCACTCTGTTAGTCGTCAGTGGGGACCATTTGGTGGAGCTCCCAACTGCCCTTTGTGACTCGTCCACACCTTTAAAGTGAGTAGCCCAGAAATCCCAGCAGACACACTCAGACACAGGTAAGGAGTGAGCAGCACTGGAGCGTGGGCAGCTGTCTCAGGACCCGGATTAGATGCCTCTCATACTCTGAGAACCTGTTCCCAACTCACAGAAGTTCTGGTGACATTTTACAGGATTTTGGAGTTTGTGGCATATGACACGAGGAAGAGGCATAGGGTTCAGAGGATTTCTGCACAAATGCTGCATGCTGGTTGGTGGTGTTGCAGGACATATGTCCAGGGCCCATGGTCTTTCGCTCAGTGCTCACATCGCTGCCGGCCTGGAGGGGTCAGCAGATGTTGAAAGGACCCTCCCTGGTTGCTTCACCCTTCTTTAGGTTTCCTTAAGTGAACCTATAAACCACCCATGACTAAGAAAAACCATCCATGCAACTGGGGTGAGATGGAAATGGAATTGAAAAGTCCTAGCTCCACCTTTCCCAGAAATGACTCCAAGGTAGCTGATGGTTCCCTGGCAGCACATCCTCCCAGAATCTGGAGCTTTGGGGTTGCCCCATTAATTCTACCTGAGACCATTTTTGTCCGTCCCCAGCAGTTTGGGCCCTCCCCACATTCTTCACATGAGGCTGCTTTAGTAAGAGCCACCTTCTCTCTGTCCAGAGACCCATTAGCCTTGAACACCAGGTGGCTGTTTACACAACCACTAGCGAGAATATTTCCCCAGGACTCCTAGTTCTTCAGTGGTAAGTGCTTACTATCAGCAGAGTTCAATCTTATCTTCCTGTCCTTGCAATAAATGCATGGCAAACAAAGAGGTTTGACTGCTGCAAAGAAAGAGACCAACTTCATATCTGTATAAGCACAAGATAAACAGGGGGTAAGACATCTCATGCATGCCCTACTCTGCCCCTTCCACCAAAATAGGTCTTCCACTGTGCTTGGCTGTGTGTGGAATATTGTTTGAATAAGAAGAGGACCACCGGTGAGAGGGGTAGCAGGATTCCTCCCTAGAGCCCCTTCAACATCCAGCCCCTGGAAGCAGGCTTGGCAGCTTCATGTCTCATAGCAGTCAGGGTAAACCTGTCACCTAACTAAAGTAATTTCAAATGATATAATTGTAGGACTCAGAAATCTAAGAGAATCAGATGGAAGCTCTTTGAATTATTGAAATTTCAATAAAAAGAATAGATACAAGTTTGCATAAAAATTTAATAGCTTATTGATTTCTTAGAAATAACCTGTAGAAGTTCAAGACCAGCCTGACCAACATGGTGAAAACCCATCTCTACTAAAAATACAAAAAATTAGCTGGCAACAGTGATGGACACCTGTAATCCCAGCTACTCAGGAGGCTGAGGCAGGAGAATCGCTTGAAACCGAGAGGTGGACGTTGCAATGAGCTGAGATCGTGCTGTTGCACTCAGCCTGGCAACAGAGCGAGACTCCACCAAAAAAAAAAAAAAAAAAAAAAAAACAGCCTGGCGTGGTGGCATGTGCCTGTAGTCCCAGCTACCTGAGAGGCTGACGTGCAAGGGTCGCTTGAGCTTGGGAGATCGAGGCTGCAGTGAGCCATGATTGTGCACCACTGCACTGCAGCCTGGATGACAGAGCAAGACCCTATCTGAAAAAAAAAAAAAAAAAAAAGAATTACAGCATATTTAGAAGGGGTGATCTCAAAATGGTGCAATGCTGGGCAATGATTTGTAGGTGAGTTATTGGAAGAGAATAGGTAGTCCTGAAATCAATGCTAATACATGATATAGGAATTTTCATAAGCAACTGGGGAAAGTATGAATGATTTCATATGGTATGAAGAAACTGGCTAGTGATAAAGCCTGTTCTTCACTTTACAGCATAAGAAATCTTGGAGTACATAGCTATGTATGCCATATATAGTTAATATCACAAATATATGGTATAAATAGCATATGGAAAGAAAACTAGACCAAGAAACAAGTCAAATAAAAAAAGAAAGTTATAAAAAGAATAAGAAATGCCATGTTAATGATGATGGCTTGATCCCTTTGAACACTTATACACTTATCCCTTAAAAGAGTCTACTAAAATGAAAGGAAAAAATGTAAAATATGAGAAATCTCAAATTTTTATGAGATACATTGAGTAGACAGAATAGCAGTCATTGATGAAAGTAAGGTGAAACAAACCAAATCCCGGAGAACAAGCCGAGGAGCAAGCCAATCTGTCCTGAAGATGCTTGGTGGCCAGAAATGTCGGTACAGGGAGGTGTAGACAGAAATATGGTGCTTAAAACAAGAGGAAAAATGGAAAAAGTTTTATGTCAACAGGCACCCCCCAACCGCCTCTTTAATTACAATGGGCAGACCACTCTGTACCAGCAGTCCAGGCCCCAGACCAAAAGCCTGAGACGTTCTCTAAGGTACCCCTGGAGAAAAGACCCCAGAGTTTTGTGTTTGGCGATTGCCCTGGGGACCTGCTAGCTCCATGCCTGAGCGAGTGATCACCCACAGTGGGGCCGGTACCTTGGCCAGCACTGCCTACATACTCAGGGGCCGAGCCAAATTCTGCTGTCTCATTCTCAGATAGGAAGGCATTACTAAGCCTTACCAGATAGTTGTCACAAAAATGTAAATATTATTTATTGATTTTCAATTTTAGAGTCAAACTGCAGCCAAAAGAAAAGTGAAATGTGATTACACATCAGAATGTGTATAGTATTGACCTTAACAAAGTAAAAGTACACAATGTCTGTGATGGTGCTTTGAGATGCAGTAAAAAAATGAGATGTCTGATGTGTGGATAGATGTGTGAATAGATGGGTGGATGGATAGGTGGATAGATGGGTGGATAGATGGGTGGACAGATGGTTGGATAAATGGTTGGATGGATGGGTGGATAGATGAGTAGATAGAAGGGTAGATGGATGGGTAGCTGGATGGGTGGATGGATGGGTGGATAGATGGGTGGATAGAAGGGTAGATGGATGGGTAGATGGATGAGTGGATGGATGGGTGGATAGATGGGTAGATGGATGGGTAGATGGATGGGTGGATGGATGGGTGGATAGATGGGTTGGATGGATGGTTGGATAAATGGGTGGATGGATGGATGGATAGATGAGTGGATAGAAGGTAGATGGATGGGTAGATGAATGGGTGGATGGATGGGTAGATAGAAGGGTAGATGGATGGGTAGATGGATGGGTGGATGGATGGGTAGATGGATGGGTGGATAGATGGGTGGATAGATGGGTAGGTAGATGGGTGGATGGATGGGTGGATAGATGGGTGGATAGTTGGGCGGATAAGTGTGTGGACAGATGGGCGGATATGTGTTAAAGCAAGTATAGTAAAATGTTAAACATGGAATCTAGAGGATTGTACATGGGTGTTCACTATAAACTTTTTTCTACTTTTGTGAATATTTAATAATTTTCATAATAAAATGTTTAAAAAGTAAAATGGTAAAAATTTAGAAGTGTGAAGGTTGGGAAACTGGAAAGAAGGGGAGAAATACCACCACTTGATTGAATGACATGAAAATATTTGTCCTAAGGTAAAAGGCATTTTAAATAGATTAAGGAAAAACAGTGATAGACCAATGATAAAAGATTGCTTCTGGGATCTGAAGAGTAATTAAGGGGAGGGTGAGAGACTGTTGCTTCACAAAGAAGCACAATTACACTCTGCAGGTTTAAAAATATGTACAGTGATTACTTTGATTAAAAATTTTAAGAATGATAAAATGTAGGTATATTTCTTATTTTTGAATAGGGAAGGAAGAGAAACATTAACTCAATGAAAAAATTGTAAAGGAAAAGTTGAATGGTTCTATCTACATTAAACATTACAACTTTTAAACTCTCTCTATGTTCAGACATTAAACAAAATTAACAGGAAAATGAAGTGGGAAATATATATATATACACACACACTAAAATACAACACTCGTGGCTCATATCTTCCATATATACAGCCCTCGTCTATAATCCAATGAGAACATGCTAACACCTCAAGACAGTGGGGCCTGCAATTGCAACCAAAAACTATTTAAGAGATTTACTGTTTTGAATTGAAATAATTATAACATTTTTCACATCAATACATCTTTGAAAATTGTGAAGACAGAAGATCAAATGCCATTTGAGTTTCACCCCTTTAGCTTGTACGTGTGTGTGTGCCTTTTATTTTTTTAGCAGCATTTCATGTTTTATTTATTTTTACTCTTATTTTTTCAGAGATGGGGTATTATTCCATTGCCCAGGCTAGAGTGCAGTAGTGTCGTCATAGCTCACTGGAGCCTTGACTTCCTGGGACCAAGCGATCCTCTTGCCTCAGCCTGCCGAATAGCTGGGATTACAGGCATGTGCCACCACACTCAGCTAATCTTTTGTATTTCTTGTAGAGTTGGAGTCTCTCTATGTTTCCCAGGCTGGTCTCCAACTCCTGGCCTCAAGCATATCCTCCTGCCTTGGCCTCCTAAAATGCTGGGATTATAGGCATGAGTCTCTGTTCCTGTCCTATCTTTTATTTATTTATTTATTTATTTATTTTTTGAGATTGAGTCTTGCTCTCTTGCCCAGGTTAGAGTGCCACGGCGTGATTTCACCTCACTGCAACCTCTGCCTCCCAGGTTCAAGCAATTCTCCTGCCTCAGCCTCCTGAGTAGCTGGGATTATAGGCACATGCCACCACATCCAGCTAATTTTTGTATTTTTAGTAGAGACGGGGTTTCACCATGTTGTTTAGGCTGGTCTCAAACTCTTGACCTCAGGTGATCCACCCGCCTCAGCCTTCCAAAGTGCTGGGATTATAGGAGTGAACCACTGCCCCGAGCCATGTCCTATCTTTTAAATACCCATTTTGTGGGGATTTTCCTTGAGTCCTTTGTAATTTGGACACATCATTTTAAAGATGGATGTCCCTTACTGGGAGTAACATCAAACGTTGCAGGACGACATGCAGCTGTGAGGATCTGCCTGAGAGAGGAGGTGTTAGTGTCCACTCCATGGCCTCCTGTCCTCTCTGCCTGTGACTAGGGAGCTCTCATTTCCCCATCAGGCCTCTGAACAGTCTGTACTTTAAAACTGGCTCTATATTACTGTTGGATTATTCCACACTGGAATTCCACTGGTGATGCTAATATCATGGGGTCAATGGTGACTTTTAAAGATAAGCCGGAACTTGGGATAACAGAGGTTACTTTGTGTGAGGAATTTTGCAGTTTAAAATGTACAGGTGACAATGTGATACTTTCCATGCTTTCTCGAATAGATTTGTAAGCCTTATGGACAATCCTATTGATAATGCCCGATGTGAAGATGGCGATGAAATAATGGAAAGTGAACGGGATCGCCAACATTTTGATAAAGAAGTTATGAAAGCCTATATTGAAGACCTTAAAGAAAGAGGTGGGTTACTCATATTTAAAATTATTTAAAATGAGTGTACAGACTTCCACTTGTGTAACACATTTGTTAATAGAAATCAAATTGACAAAAAGTTTATGGGTTGAGGGGCACGTTACTTTGTAAATTATTTTTCCATTTACCCTCCAACACATTCCAAATGATACATTTCCTTAAAATATCAAATTGTCGTAGTCCATTTGAATGCTTGACGAATCATCCACTGTTTGACAGAGAAGCTGGGAAATGTGCGCTTAAAATGTGAGGGTTGCATTACTAACCATACGTGAGTTTTTAACTAAACGATATTGACAAAATAGTATCCTAAGTTACATGAAAAATAAGATGATGTTTCAAAATCCATTTAAATTCAACTTTTGAAAAAGTTACCTCATATAAATCAAGAACACTTACATAAAAATCACAAAAGGGAAGTGCAGGATGGCCAATTTGCACATAGATGCATTTAGTTTTGGTTTCCATAGGGTGGTGAGAATACAGAGGGGCGAGGCGGGTCAAGTGCCTGAGGAAAGGGTGGGAAGGTTTTTTCCCAGCGCCAGATTCCGGCGGCTGTTTCCAAAGGAGTGGAGAGATCCTAATGATGTTCTGGAAGCCTTAAGCCCTTCCTTCCATCACAAGACGGCCTCCCCAGGAAAAAGGCATACGTCAGTCTTTGGTCTTCTAATCACTGCCGCCTTTTTGGGTGTGCATGCCTGAGAGTTATTCCTTAATTTTTCAGTTCTTTGATGAGCTAGGTGCAGACCTGGCAGGAAGAGAGATGTCCCGCATGTGGATTTAGGGAGGAAGCAGCACTGGCCCTGGGCCTCTGATGATGAGCATCTGTGGGCAGGCTCCCTCAGTCACCCTCAGAAAATGGCACGGGTGGGCATGCCCCTCCCTCATCAGTAGATGTCTGAAGATGATTAGTCACATTTAGATAGCCAGAAATGATGAAAAGTGTCATTTATTGGGCAAATTAAAAATTGTTTCAGCTAAACTAAAATTTCTATATGGTTACTTTTAATCTGTTTGGATATCCCTAATTTTGAATGCTGAACTAATATGAAATAAAGTAGAAATTTATCGTAAATGTGAAACTGAAATAACAGAACCATTTATTTGTCAAAATTTACCTTTGTGTTGTATGGTTTTCCTCTTGTGAGAACCTTTAGTGTTCCATTTTACTCATTTATTTATTCATAATTATATTGTAGTGCTATTACGTAAAACTACAAGAAAGAAAGAAAATAGGTGTTAAGTTTTAGATCTATGTGGCCAGTAATAATAATCTGCTTTTAAAATTAATCAATTTAAATAAAATAAATATATTTATCTATTATAAAATAATATCATTTAATAAATAAATAATTATTAATTTTATTGATATCTTATTAGCTATTATTTATTTAAATAAATTAATTTATTTTAAAATAATTTGCTTTTAAAAATTAACTTTAGGATGATAGATTTTTAATTTGTTTACTTATTTCTAAATAATAATAATTTTATCGTGTATATATTCATATATATTAGATTGAACACATAATAGTGCTAATATTAAGCTGGTTTTGTCCTACAGAAATGCCACTTTTTGATGGTTCAACCTAGATGTGGTCAGGCATATGCTCTGAATTTTAAAAAATTTGCTCGTTTTCTTTTCTTTATCATGGTGTCTTCCCTGTTTTCCTTCTTTCCCCATTAGACCAATGTCTGAGTGAAAAAATAGTAGATTTAATCTGTCCATAAGGGCCTACAATCTTGTGTGATTCCAGAAGGATGAGAATGTGAAGCCCTCACTGGTCCTCAAGCTTTAGTAAACATAGGAATGAGAGTTTTTACTCATCAGGCTTGGGGCAGGGCCTGACAAAGTACACTTCTGACCAGCTCCCTGGTGATGTTGATGTCTTGTGTCTGAGAAGTACACTCTGAGAGCCATTGATATAGACCATCCTTTGACAAAATTTGGCTGTGAAGGGAGACAGAAGAGGGGTCAGCAACTAGTGGGCAGAGCAAGGCTGAGAGAAGGTTTACTTTGAAAGATGGTGTATGGTTTAGGAACAGCCCAAACTTCTCTTACAAACGGTACCCTCTGCCACCTACTACTATCCACAGTCCCAAGTCCGTGACCATCTATTTCTATTTTATCAACTGTTAATACTATAGGGTCATACAGCTTCCAAGATCTTGATGTAGCTATAAGTTGGCTGGAAAGATTGCAAAAGAATGAGAGTTAACGATTCTTAGATCTAAACATTTCTAAAGTTTGACTGCACATTTGTGATGGCTGACTTAATGGTGACAGATGCATTGTTTATCACCTATACAGTATCTCTATACTTAAAACATGAAGTGACAATAATGGGTGTATTGACATAGGCCATAGCATGTAGTTAGATTTCATAATAAAATGGTGAATGACTGAGCTTATTTTTTTCTTTCTGTTACAGAATCTGTTCCCAGCTATACCACCAAAGTGTCTTTTAGCCTTCAACTTTGATATCTATCAGAAGACTGCAAATCTCACTATTCTCTGGAGCTATATATAAATCTTTGTTATGATCATGTCATATAGGAAGAATGGCTTGTGCTTAAGGACAAAGCCTAGAAACCACTGTCATAGTTGCTAAGAAAAATGGTTTTCAAATGTCAAATACATGAATATCTCCCTCCATGGATTGGTGAATTGAAAAATTGGTTTATCTATTGATATTTCCAGGTTCATTTGCATACACTTGTTTCCAAATAATGCACATTTAATATGTTTTAAAATGTCTTATTTTTAAGAATTATAACTAAAAGACCAAATACGGAAATTAAGTGCATTGTTAAAAGATAAAGGGAACGAGCGTGGTGGCTCACACCTGTAATCCCAGCACTTTGGGAGGCCGAAGTGGGTGGATCACCTGAGGTCAGGAGTTCGAGACTAGTTTGGCCAACATGACAAAACCCCATCTCTACTAAAAATACAAAAAATTAGCTGGGCGTGGTGGCAGGCACCTGTAATCCTAGCTACTCAGCAGGCTGAGGCAGGAGAATCACTTGAACCTGGGAGGCAGAGGTTGCAGTGAGCCGAGATCGTGCCACTGCACTCCAGCCTGGGTGACAGAGCCAGACTCTGTCTCAAAACAAACAAACAAAAAAGGATTGTGAAAAGAACATTTACATTGGACTAATCAAATGAGAGTACTTTGTTATTTTGAAAGTTTCATTATTTCTTTTACTGAGAATAATCTTCCTTGAGTTTATATAAACTGCTATTTCCATATGTTTTAAGTTATATTTTGGCAAGTGTAGGCTCCCAGGAGAGACTTGTAGGTACAATCTAGGCCTTGAAGGTGGAAAGAAAGGCTGGAATATCTGCCCATGCATTGGGCACGAGATGCTCAGATGGTGCGTGGGTAGCTCTAGCTGAGGAAGTGTGGGCCTGGCTGTTGATGGGAAGTCTTCAGTGGCCTTCATGGATGGCCATCCTGCCCTGAGTGGCCACCTTGGGGGTCCTGGGACACACCTTGGTAAAGAGCAAAGGCAATGCCCTCGAGGTCCCTTCCTCCAAGATGGCCATGTAGGGTAACGGCGATGACCAGTCCACACTGATAAGGAGTTCCTAGCAAGGCTTCCTTGTGGGTACCACAGGACAACTCTGCCCATAGCAAAGATGCTTCAGTCCAGAGGGAGCCCATGGGCTGTTTGAATTTCGGAGAGGTGGGATTCATTACAGGACTTTGGGCTCTTATGTCACATCACATGATTTGGAGAAATTATACACAATCTCTTATTTTTATACCACTGTCCTGGGCTGAAATAAACAGGTTGTGGCTGACGGTGTTGAAGATAAATAAGCTTAAACATAGAACTTTGACTGGGCACGGTGGCTCACACCTGTAATCCCAGCACTATGGGAGGCTGAGGCAAGCAGGTTGTTTGAGCCCAGGAGTTTGAGAATAGCTTGGGCATCATGGCAAAACCCCATCTCCACAAAAAAATTAGCCAGGTGTGGTGGCATGTGCCTGTGGTCCCAGCTACTCAGGAGGCTGAGGTGGGAAAGTCGCCTGAGCCTGGGAGGTCGAGGCTGCAGTGAGCTGTGATTGTGTCAGTGCCCTCCAGCCTGGGTGACAGAGTGAGACCCTGTCTCAAAAGCAAATCAAACAGCAATAACAGTGTTGTTATTGTTATAACTGAAAAAACCAAGCAGCTTTTGTGACTAAGAAGGAAAATATGTATATAGTGGCATATTTTTATATGAATCGTCTCCTCTGTGGTCCTGCCCAGTACCATCCAGTGGAGCTTTCTGCAGTGACGGAAATGTTCTGTATTTGCATTGTCCAAGGTGGTAAACCAGACACATGTGATTCTTGAGCACTTGAACAATGACTGATGTGATTGAAGAACCCATCTTTCAATTCAGTTCAATTTAAATAGCCACATTGTTCCATCAGGTCAAACCCAAGGCTGGAGTCACACTAGCCTTGGGTTTGACCTGATGGGGAATTCCCATGACAGAATGCTCCAAACCGTTCCAAGGCGGGGCCAGTTGCGATTCTAAAGGAAGAAGCACGAAATCGCAGGGTGATCAGTCCAAAGCATTTATGAGGGGAGCTTACACACAGCATGGGCTGCAGCATCCTTGTGATGGGCAGTGAGACAAGGGATGTTCTACCTGGGCATGTCCCCGGTGAGGGGGTCAGGTGATGGAGTTCACATGAGGATGTAAGGAATTTGGGTGGGGGCTGGGCTGGCTTCCACATGTTTAGCAACATGGTTGATCTTTCAGTGTTTCCAGCAACAACCTAAACACCTTTATTAGTGCCTAGGAATGTTCAAGGCCCAGGCTGGGGTTCAGACCTGCAGAGGAAAACATCAGCTGGCTGGGTCAAGGCACTGTGTGTTTCTTGGTCAGGACAGAGACAAAAATGGGGAAAACTAGGGGACCCCACACACATGTGGCTACCATACTCCAGAACAGGTATAGCCAGTTTTTTGTTTTTTGGAAGTTAATCTGGGGTAGAAATGTAGGGTGATTTTTATTTTCTCTGTCTGAAGAACTAGCCATTTTTAAAAGGGTTATTATTGACATCCCAATATTTTGTCTTGATAGGCTTACTCATAAGTCCAAACATTTTATTCTCAACAGGTGTAAAACAGGCAGAGCGTTCTAAAACCGCATGGTAGTGCTTCGGTGGAGGACTGCTTCCCCTTAGAAACAAACTCTGAGAAGTAGGTTAAGAGATGAAAACAGGGTCAGGCACGGTGACTCACGCCTGTAATCCCAGCACTTTGGGAGGCCGAGATGGGCGAATCACGAGGTCAGGAGTTCGAGACCAGTCTAAACAACATGGTGAAACCCTGTCTCTATTAAAAATACAAAAAATTAGCCGAGTGTGGTGACAGGTACCTGTAATCCCAGCTACTCGGGAGGCTGAGGCAAGAGAATCGCTTGAACCCAGGAGGTAGAGGTTGCAGTGAGCCAAGATCCTACCATTGCACTCCAGCCTGGGCAACAGAGTGAGACTCCATCTCAAAAAAAAAAAAAAAAAAAAAGAGAGATGAAAACAGTAGGAAACTGAGAAATCACCTTTATTGAATCTTAAAGAGTTACATTTTCTTTCTTTTTAACACTAAAAATACAATTCAAATTTATTAGCTGTACTACTTGAATGATTTTTATTTCATGCTAAGGTATATGTTACATATAGGCAAGTGGAAAATATATCTGAAGAGGGGCTTTCACACAAATAGACTCTTCATAATTTATGTAAATTTTATTTTAATAAAACCAGTTTTTGTGTAAAAACCTTGTTTCACTGTCACATATGAAAAAAATACTGCATTGAGATATAATTATTTAATGTTATGTAATAACCCAAAACAAATATATTACTTCACTATGTTTGTAGAGATACTATTTAATTTATTCATATAAACGTGCAGAAAGATTCCAAAGGAGAATATGTATCTTAGTGGAAATACAGAGATTTGAAAATTTGACATGATGCAAGTAGACTGATACATAATTTGGAAAGGTTATTTACATGGCAGAATACACGTATGAATATTAAAGTAATATGAGTGAAAGAATAAAATATTGTTAAAAGAAAAACGTCCTGGTTCTAAAAGCTTTTTATTAAACCTATTTTTTATATGTTGGAAGTGTAGGGGGGAAAAGATTTTTTTTCCTCATCTGTTGCTAGGTTCATGGCTGAGACTCCTACAACAAAAGATGGATTAAGAAGTGAAAATAACATACGAATATATTTAACATAAGTTTTATGTGATATGGGAGCCTTCAGAAATGAAGACTCAAAGAAACAGGTAAATTTGTGTGTTTTTTTTTTTGGGACAGAGTCTCGCTCTGTTACCCAGGCTGGAGTGCAGTGGTATAATCTCAGCTCACTGTAACCTCCACCTCTCGGCTGAAGAGATTCTTCCACCTCTGCCTCCCCGAGTAGCTGGGATTACAGGTGTGTGCCGCCACGCCTGGCTAAGTTTTGTATTTTTGGTAGAGATGGGGTTTCGCCATATTGGCCAGGCTGGTCTTGAACTCCTGACCTCAAGTGATCCTCCCGCTTTGGCCTCCCAAATGGCTGGGATTATAGGCGTAAGCCACTGTGCCTGGACAACTAGTGCATTTTTTGATACTAAGTTTGATGATGAAGTGCATAGTTGTGGAAAAACATGATTGGAGGACAACAAGGTGTGATCTAATAGAAATACGCTGGGGGAAATTTACCAAGGCCTGTCAGTTCAGATTCTTCTTGGCGTCCCCGTGTCTTTGAGGATAAGGATGTTCCTATACTTCAGATACAGGCAGGATACCTCCAGAAGGGGGGTCTTATGACCAACTGCAGGGAGGAAGGTCAGATAATTCTGTTATGACCTACTTCAGGGGTGAAGGCTGAGAGGAAAGTCAGAGATACCTTCCTGCTTCTGCAGTTTTCTCAAATGCCAAGGCGCCATATTTTGGGATAGAATGTAATGACGCCCATCAGAAATGAAGGGGCAAAGGCACTTAGGTGAAATCCTTGAGTAGTGTATTGTAATTAATAGCAGGACTCACATCTGGTTTCTTGGCTGTAGCTTTAATTTTATTTCCACCAGAATCTCTTTTAAATTTCTTGATGGTTCTAGCCACCCTCCCCACCCACGTGTTTTCTTGTTTGGGGTGTAATGGATCACAGAGCTAGTAAACTATAAAGTAGTGAATTAAATCCTTACTACCATGTTTCTCCCAATTTGAGTTATGGAAGAATCCAACAGTCTTTTTTGTACAGAAAGAGACAGAAGTTCATTTTAATTTTAATAACTGGATGTGGTAGGAGATGGTTCCTTCTCACTTTCTCACTTTTCTGTAGAAAGACCCAGCAAGCTTCTCAACTCTCCTTCTGGCTTAGAGATGCCTCCTTCCGAAGGCTTGGCTGGTGTTTATCTGGGTCATTAGAGCAGATATTCACAAAATGGTCAGTTTTTTAAACTTTAAAAGAAAAAGGTTGAGGAAGTGGATATCCAATCCTACTACTTACTGAGGTGTATATTCTAATCGGCTCAGAATGGATTATGTTTTCACCCAAAGACCGTTCTGTATTTGAGCCAAGGCTTAGTGCTTTATCATTGTACTGAGGGTACTAATCCTTTTTAAAACTAGGATTTGGTTTTGATACATAGATGACTTCCGTTTCTTACTCCAGCTTTGACCTTTAATATCGGCACCTGTTTCTGGTTTCTCCTCTTTGGGGCAGCTCCACTTGGGAATCCCACTGACATCTAAAACAAGTGTATTACAGGTGTGTTTATTTTCTTCCTCCATTTTCCAA